GAACTCGACTGAGATATTGATGAGATCATTCTGTGTACAAAATTTCATGACAATTGAATGAGGCTTTCAAAAGTTATCGTGTTAATGGACGGACGGACGGACGGACACACTGACCGAATCTAGTGCACTCACTTTTTGAGTACACAACAAAGAGTAGATTATTTTCCACTGATCTTGAAATTCTATTTATTTGTAGAACTTAGTTATGAAAATATACGAAGAACTTTTAATGAACTAGTTTTATAAACTGTTTTTACCTATACAAAATTCACTGAATGCAATCTTTTTGTGAATTGTAGAGTTCAAAGCAAAGAAAAAGTATTTTGTTTTACTTTAGTCAACATCGACAATAGACTTTGCATTCAGCTTTAGTTAATATTATTACTTAAGAGAAATATAATTATTAGTGGAGATTAACAAATGAATCTTTTATTAGATGTGACTTTTGCAAGAGCAGCGATCAGATATTGAATACATTGAAGCTGACTTATTCCAATCTAATGATTTTGTTGAAAAATAGATTCTACTATCAATATAAAATCTGCAGTAACACAAAAACGATGGTTTTTTTCAGTTAGAAATTCGTATAAAAGCATTTCTACAATCATTATCAGATGCCAGAAAAGAGATTTCATCATTGATGACCAACGATGGATTTCTTTTACTTGATTCTTTTGTATCCTATTGAAAAAACGCTATCTTAAATTTAGTCTTCCGCATAAGCAGAGCACATGATTAACAATTACTTATTGCTATGTTCATTCTATAAATAATCTATTAAGCATTGAATCCAATTCAAACTTCATAACGTCGACTAAGCATCATGAAACTGGCTCATAAATAAAATTTCTACGATCAGCGAACAGGCCACAAAAAATGCTCCTCTTATTTTTCTCCTAATTGATAATTAAAACAGTACAAGCAAGTCTTGCCTACTTCAACATAATGATTAATGATACATTAAAGGTTACTTTTGACTAATGGCTTCTAAGCGTGTAAATGCTAATAAAGACAAACATCATTTGAATAAGATTTTTGCTTACAATTACTTTAAAACATGAAACATTATTAACGTAATGTATTATTGTTGTTTTATCGAAATATAGCTGTTTACAAAAAAATGATATCATGATCATGATCGCTATTTTGCTCGCATCAACGCATAAATAAAGCTGAGAAAGTCGTTGACGTATACAATGAGTATTTCAATCACACACATACTATGCATAGCATCAAACGGCGATTCACACTCATTAGACAAGGAGAGCAAGAGAGAGGAACAAATGAAGACGAACATTTACACCAGATTGTATTCCTATTTGAACTTAATGAAAATAGTCAATAAAAGAAAAATTGTCATACATACACAGCTTGTTGACAAGGCTATTATGTCAATGGCAGACAGATAACTTTTCAATTAACGAACAACTAGAATGATTGTTCATCTTTGACTAATGAAGTGTAATAGTGTTGGTAAACTATGTATTTCAAAACAAAAAAAAAACGACGATGAAAAAAGGTGTCAATTTGTTTCGAGTTTTCCGTATTTTAAATATGCCGAAAAACCAATTTAATTTATGCATTTGAAACAAAACTTTTTGGATTTTATGACTTGGTTGGAAAATGGTTTAATTCAAAATTCACAAATCAAGTACAGCAACAAAGTCGTTCACATAATTCCTATTATTCTTATTATTATTCATTTTGAAAATATTCTTTCTTGTATGTAAATTTACAGAGACGTATAATCATTACATCAAATATTCATTCGATCAGCAAAATGACAATTCTTTTTTTCCTTTTCATCTGATTTTGAATATCAGTCGTGCCTTAGATAAAATTGACAACACGAGAAGCTTCTTGTCATGTTGTCAATTATTATAGTTTAAATTAAATCACCATTAGAAGAAGTGAAAAGAGGATTATCGATATAATTAATGATTACCAATCACATATTGATCAATTCGAATCGATAAGCTTCAAGAAAATCTTATACGAACAAATCTTCTTAGTTGTCCAGAACAAGGATTACTCAAAATTCTAGAAAAATTTTTTTTGTTTTGAATAAAAAAGTGTTTTTAACACATTTTCCTTAAATGATCTAATACAAAACGCTAGAATGTTTGATTTCTTCCAGCTTGCGCACCAGCATAAAATGTCGTCATCGTTAATGATATATCTTTCCTTTTTTCTTTTCAAGCTGTTGATGATGTTCAAACTAGACAAGACATGAACGAAACGAAATAAACAATTATTGGTTGATGTTCTCTGAAATTGAAAGAGAGAAAATATTTTGTTGGTCGAATTCAATTGAGAGAAAAACGAAAAAAGAAAATTCTCACAAAGATATATAAGATCAATTAGTTCGAATTTCACGTTCATTTCACAATTCAACTATCTATCTATTCTTTTATAGAGACATAATCCAACAACAAGAGTGATGTCTGCTTATTCCGGTCCACCATCGGTGAATCCTTATTGGTACTATGATCCTCATGGTTATCAACCTAATGTTAGTGTTTCGTTTAACACAAATATATCTGGTGAGTTTTCAAAGAAGACAAACAAAAAATTGTACATTCTTGTAATTAATATTTTATTATTATTTAGTTAATACACCACCACATCCATCATTCGATATGTATCATAATAGTAGTAACAACAATAACAATACTAGTGGTTTTGCTGATTCCGGTTATCTGTCTCGTACCCCTACTCCACCGACACCCAGTCGTATTCCTTCACCACAACCATTATCAATGAGGCAAGAACTAGAGAAAAAAGGTATATTTTAGATTCGAAAAATATATCAATCTTATTGTGTTTTTGAGTTTTTAGAAACAGATTCAAGATTGTCAGAAAAGTCATTCGTTGATAGTAAACCACGTTTACCTTATGTCAAACGTACTAGAATTCAATATACAAATCAACAAGTAAAAACTATCGATACAATGTATTAATATTTTATAAATTCGTCTTTGCATTTAATTAGTTACAAATCTTGGAAGAAGCTTTCGACGATAATCATTATCCAGAAGTAACGACTGTTGATGCCCTTGCTGAGATGCTCGATGTTCGGCATGAAAAAATTTCCGTAAGAAGTTGTTGGTTTTTTTTTTCATTGTTCGGAGAAAATAAAATATGATTTTAATCTATTCTTAGATTTGGTTTCAAAATCGACGTTCACGTTATAAGAGACAACAAAAACCAAAATCTTCATCATCGTCAAATGAGGCTATAAAGAGAATAACAGTATGTTATGAATAAAAATAATTGTAGCATATATTCTTTAACAATAATATTTTTCTAGCACTCGATTCCTGTATCATCAGCTGTACCATCACAATCCTATGACTCACCGACATCGTATTATTCACCATATTTTTGGCCATCTCCAATTGCTGATAATCGAACGGCAACGTCGTATACAGGAAATCCTCATGTGCCAACTTTTTACGAGTAAGATTGTTTTCAAATTGTGTACAAAAAATTTAGATTTATGATCTATTCTTTCAGTTCTAACGCAAGTCCCATGTGGAATACGAATAATAATGCAGCTTATTTGAGCTCGACACAATGGCATCAATCGTAAGTTGAAATCATTATTAATTATTAATTTATGAATGAATTTTCTTTAGTTCATGTTCGATGAATTTATCATCATCTCCTTCGTCGCCATGTACTTCCATACTGCCTGAACATCTTCCGTCAATGTAATACTAAATAAGCTCGGAGAGCAGTTGTACGACGAACGTTGACTCTTCATGCAATCTTTTTCTGTTCTCTTTCTTATCTTGTTGAATGTTTTTTAATAAAAAAAAATGATTTAAAATAATCATCGTCTTATCTGTGCTTGGATCTCAAGCACGATTGCTGTTCCATAGAACTAATCACGCGACAACATCAGTAATCTACTGTGCTCTCCATAGATATTTTTATTACAAAGAAAGCAATAATATTTCTCTTGAGAACTGATAGAAATCTATCGATATATTATAGAAGAAAAAATAATACAGAACGCAATATCTTACTTGTGGGTGTGGGTAAATCAAATCAGCAATACAAAGTAGTATGCACTCTTTAACTTAATTTTACTTGTTGATGTCATCCCATGTAAAAAAAAAACAATTGAACCAAAAATCACTTTTAATCGCTTTTAATAGTAATAAAGTAAAATAAAGTAACCTCTCTTACTATTTTTCACTTTGTATGGTACTTTCTGATCATTTTCCCACTTTCTATAGTACTTTATCATACTTTTCTTACTTTCAAAAGTACTTATCAGTACTTTTTAGTCAAGAAGTATGAAAAATACTTGAAAAGATTCACTTATAAGTACTTTACACCGCGTAAAACCTACTATTGAAAGTACTTAACAATCACTTTTTTGAATAAAACTGTTTACACGGGATATCAATGTTGAAATAATAATTTAAAAAATGATCTGTTTCGTTTTTCTTTAAACATCGTTCTTTTTCAAAAATAGAAAACACGGTTAGATAGGATTTACCAGCTACAAAACACTTTCACACATCACAAATGCGGTGGTGTAGTCGATGTGAAATAAACATGTAAACAACAAGAGAAGAAAAAACAAAGAAGAAGAAGAAGAAGAAGAAGAAAATAAACCGGTTTTTAATTAAGAAGATGAGTTAGTAGATAATCTACATGGAGAAAATAGAATTTTTGCAAATGCTTTGCGAAATTCAAGATTAAATATTGTATAAATAATCGGATTTAAAAATGAATTAACATATCCTAACCATACACATAAGGATAAAGTAAAATCTTGGATTAATAAAGTTTCCGATTTCTTCGATAGTTTAACAATAGCGTTTACCAAGTTGTTGAGCACAAAGAATGGTAACCAACATACTAGGAAGCAAACTAAAGAGAAACAAAATAGATAGCTAAACTAAAGAATCCTAAGCTGAAATAATCTATTGTATTTATTTTGTTCTTTTCTTCTTCTTTCAATTCATTAAAGTTGGTACTCGTGAATGTCACTGTAGTCAATAGGAAGTAACCCATTGAGACCACTTAACTTGGCATTCGTTTTTTACAGAATTGCAAATATGAATGTCTATCATCATCATATTACTACATTTCAATATTTATATACTCGAATTTGTTGAAATTGCTATGTAAACAAAAACTGAAGGCGAGAAGAAATCTTTTTTTGTCCTGGTTTTAGACATACTTAGCACGATTATAAGTGTTTGTGTTGCTTTACGTTCCTTTTTCATACGAGAATAAGCTTTTCGTTTTACATTTTTATGATTAGTTGGTTGTGTGGTATTCGTTGTTATTGTTGTAGTATGAGCATCGGGGTTCGTTTTTAAACGTGTTTTAAAATTGTTGGCTGGATAATGATAATCATCATGATGCGTTGCAGTCTGTGAAATACGTGTCGTTGTTTTGAAAGGCGCCGAGTTATTCGATTTTATATTGGATACCATCGGTATTGACGGTAAAATTTCAATAGGATTTTCATGTTCTTGGTAACAATGATTACTAGTATTATTATTATTATTATTTCTCTTTTGTTCATCATGAATAAATAAGGCAATATCATCACGTTCGTCATCATCTACTGGATCACCAGATGATGATATAACATTTATCGATGGATGCACGTGTGGTGTTAATGTGGATGCAGATAATTGCATCATTAAAGTATTACATTCAATGTTATTATTATTATTATTATTCGTATTCGATAAAGGCACTGATGGATTTGTTATTGTCTGAGGTTTATTTGATATTGAAGATGTCGCATTGACATTTTTATCGTTCAGAATTGCTGCATGATTTGTACTAGGTATATTCTGTAACAATGATGTCAATAAATGATCTGCATTTGAACGATGCTGTGCTGCAGCTGATTCAATAGCAGTTTTAGGTCTCCATTGTTTACGATTTTTTCTTGCACGTGCCATAATAACCATAAATATTCGATAGTAAATAGCAAATATAATAATACATGGAATGAAAAATGAACCAAGCGAAGAAAAAATAAGAAATTTATTATTGAAGAAGGCGCATTGATGGGGAACACGTGGATAAGCCGCAACATCTGATTTATTTACACCACTAAAAACAAAAGGGAAATAAAAGTTTTACGAAAAATTTATTTCTAGCTTTTTCGACAAAATCTTATTCTTTTACCTGACAATAGGTAAAGCAATAAAAAATGAAACAAGCCATACGATAACAATCATAATGGCAACGCGTTTTGAATTTTTATGTCGAGCATATTTGAGTGGTTTTGTTACGGCAATATAACTAGTATTCAGAATAACAAATCAAAAAGTTGAATTAAAAAATTTTAATAAGAAAAAAATCTCATTTTACCGATCAACTGCAATGGCAACCTAAAACAACATAAGAAGAAAGGCAGTCGATGAGTTATCGAAGCAATTAAATTTTCTTTTCATACTAAATTTAATATTGATGCTGTACAAGCCATACAATCAGAGGCCACCCAAAAATCACATAAACGTTCAGATAGTTCCCATACTCGATTAAACTAAAATAAGAAATTATTTTGTTTTGTTTTAGAAATGTCTGTTGTGTGACAAAGTTCAAACGTATGAATGTTATATCATTTTTATATTTTGAGTTTAACTAAAAAACTAGTAGCTATTTATTTTTCTAAGATAAGATAAATACAAGTTAATAGCTCTTCATGTTTTCTTTTGTATGAATATTTATGAAGAAAAAATAGTTATTCAAGTGAAGTATATATTCACCTCTCGGATGTCAATAGGAAACAGCTTAAGTTCAATGATGGATAGATACTTCCGCTTTTTTCCTACAGGATATCGTTAATCATTTTTTTTCCCTTACACAATTATATTCTTGACTAACATATGATCAAAAATATGTGAATAGTTACACATAAAATTACACCAAGAATTTCGGCTTACAATAAAAAAATTTGTTTTTAATTTCAAAAGAAATTATCTTAAACTTATCAGATATGTAAATGATACAAATAAATGTCGAAATTCAGTATATTTATATGTAATCTTTTTTACATCAATAAAATGTTCCCTGTCATGTCAATGATAAAAAGATGTAAAAGCGATTAGGATTAGTTGATTTGGATTTCTTTTCAATTATTTTACAGCTTACCTCTAGATAAATAGCAAATGGCATAACAACAGCAGCAACAGTTATATCAGATATTGCAAGTGATACAACGAAATAATTTGTTATTGTATGTAAAGATTTTTCACGATAGACACTAACAACAACAAGTACATTGCCAAAAATTGTAAATATAGGAAAAAATATCAGTGCAAATGCCCAATAATTAAGTTTATTTGTTTCAATTGATACTGTTGTTGTTGGTAATGATGAAAAATGGTCAATATATATCGGTGTAATTGGATTATTTAAATCTATTAGTTTATTGATGCCATATGATAAAGTATCATATACATTTGAATTATAAAATAAAGGTACTGGAAGCGGCGGATCGACTATATTCCACGAAGCAGTATCATTCAATAATTGTTGCATGACGAACAATGAGAAGTGAATAAAGAAAAAAAAAATATATAAATGATAAGCAAGAGACGTAAGATTGAAGACGATTATTATGCTTCTGGCAAATAATGATAATGAAGATGAAGATAATGTGCTCGATTGCACGTTGATGAAAAAGACTGGTTTCAAATTTAATATGAATAGTTGTTGGCTTTCTTGACGATAAATAAAGAAATGCCAGAACGGTGTTAGCAGTTGTAGTCGAAGTTTCAAGCGGTCTGCCGAAAGCGTCATCTCCTGATTGATTCTTTCGCCATGATGTAGCATGTCTCATTTTGAGACGATCATGCGTGAGGAGCAAACGTCGTCGTTTCGACGTATGAAGAGAAGGAGAGTAGAATGTGAATATGAGACAGAGAGAGAGACAGAAAGAGAATAAGAGAAAAAGGATGATGTTGACGAAAAGATATCGTCTAATGTTCAATTACTATTACCGTTCCGTTTGACTGCTGTTGGTACTTCTCGTTTACTGTTAGAATGTCAACATCATGCTTTTTCATTGTATATGATTGTAAAGCAGCATAATCAGCATTGTTATTGATTTGATCAAAAAAATAGAAGAACAAAAAGAAACCTATCAAGGAAGAAGAAGAAGAAGAAAAGAAGAAGGAAGAAGAATCTTGATACTGCCAAAAATCTTGTTAACAAAAAAAGAAAAATGGTTATTTGTATTTTGCTGAGTTATTTTTCTTTTTCTTTTTCTTTTTTTGTCATCCTAGAAAAATAGTAAAATTACAATTGCTTTCTTTTTTTTATAATGTCTATTTGTATATGCTTAGAGAAAATAAATGAAGTCACTCTAATTGAAGCCCGACTTTCTCATTTATTAGTACCCATCAAGGAAAGGAATAGCAGCGAAATAATCAGCAATATCATAACTTTTTGATTCTACCCTGGTTGACTAATTCACTTTGATTATTTACGATTGATATAATATACAAATTGAAATTTTTCTATAGATCCAGTTGTTGTTTATTTTTTCTTTATAACTATTAGTATTACTACTACATGCACGAATCATGCTTCTAGTCATTGTCAAATAACAAGTAATGCATTCGAATAGATTTTGTACACGCAATGGGAAATATGATAGAGATACCAAAAGAAAACAGACAGAGAAGCAAACATTAAATGATGATGAATAGATAAATTATCCATCGACTGTGATCACTGTAGGCTACTCCATTACTATCGTTAAACGATGGATAATGATCTTTTCCGGCACACCCACGTATTCTTACGGTAAAATCATGATTTATGGGAACCTATGGTGGTAGAAGCAGAAGAAAAATGAAAAGGTATCTATATTAGAGCAACATGGAATAGTAGAAACAGCAGGATACTGACAATCAGCATCATGATCCTAGAGAGAGAGAGAGAGAGAGAGAGAGAGAGAGAGAGAGAGAGAGAAAGAGAGACTTGCTTATTTTCGTAATTTAACACAGATCTGAATGATGTAGAAAAAAATATTGAAATATACTCAATGATATGAGTCTCTCAGCTCTTGCTCTGGTTTTCTTTTCTTTTTGTACGATATTGGAAATGTTTTTTTTTGTATATATACAAGGATCTACTTTCTTGTTGACATATAGGAATAAGAAGATAATTATGAAAATATCTTGAGATCGATTATCGTTTGATTGAAATGTAGAGCTTGTGTTCTTCAATCTATTTTTATCTCTGTACATAAATGTTAACATATCTGTCTTGTGTATTTATCTATCTACTCGTTTTATATAGACTCTCACTAATCCCAAAGACAAGTTCTGTGGCAACGTAGTACATTACACTCATACAAAAAATGCAGAAAAACTCAACAATCGCTCATACACATAGATAAATAAACAAATAGCCGAAAATACCCTTCTTTTGTTAGAACATCGATCGCGTTAATAACTGGGATTGTTTTCTCTAGAGATGAAGATGACGTTTTTTTTCTTTTTTCTTTTTATGTATTTATGTATAAAGACGTTAGGAAACCTACGAATTCGAACGAGTGCATCGATAAGAAGCAGAAAAAAAGAAACAAAATTACAAAATACGATCTGAAAAAATGTTCTCTTTTGATTATTCACCGGATCCAAGTGGTGGTCTTATCTTGAAAAACTCAATATTTTTGTTCTCTACTATTTCCATCGTATATGAAAAAGAAAAGTGAGAAAATAGAAGAATATTGATCATGCATTTTCTTACCATCGTTAATTCCTTGAAAAACGGTGGTTAGTCATTAAGCGACAGATATTGCTCCTATTATTGATATGATAATCATCATAAAGCAATGAGAACCAGATTGATCTAGCGTCCATCATATTTACACAGAATATTCTGACATACGTATGTATTAGCAAAAAAATATTGAGTAAAAAATAAATCTATGATAAATCTTCTGAAGATATAGAAATGATTTAATTTTTTAATTATTTATTTATTTTTATTAATTTCTATTAAGAAAACAGATAGTTATTTACTGAACTACAATGGACTACATTAATATAACTCAAGAGACATACAAGTAGTCATCTATGTGCATGCATGGATGAATAAATGAAAGAATGATCGTTTTAGTGACTTTGAAACTTCTTCTTCTTTTTTTCTTCTATTGGTATAAAAAAAAAGTATTTCTTTTCTTATTATTTTTACTGGTTCGTTTACTTACTTGCTTAGTAAAACAAATGTGCGTGAGCATTAATAAAAGAACAAATGAGACAGTTATAGCATGTAAAAATGATACCCATGCAACAAAAGGGTTGTCAATCGTAAACAGATTGTGATAGCCTCGAATTTTGAATCTTTTCACATATAACTATTGCAACTCAAAGACTCCTATGCACTTAAGAATAAAAACTAGTCTTTTGTCTAAATAGGTGAACAAAAATAACTATGAATGGTACTTCAACAACAAAAACAAAAGAAAATAACACCATGAATGAGTTTTTTAATCTATACAACGGAATATTATCAAATAGTAACAAAACAAGAAGAAGAAGAAGAAGAAGAAGAAAAATTATGTCCTATTTTCTATTCTTCTCTATTTAACTCATCTGATAAGCGTAGCTTTTATTCTAAAGTAAAGGGAAGAATAACTACGAAGCTATCAGACATGCTTCAATAATTCTCATAATGTTTTAACAACTCCGATAAGGTAAAACAGGAAAATATATTCGCGCCAATGGCTCCTGGTAGAGTGGCAAATAGCGACAATGGGATTATAATACGATTTGTGCAAATACACCAGGATAGTAGACTTTCTGACAGAAGTTTTTCCGACTAACAGCACAAGTGGAAAAGCGAAATAGAGAAGGAGTAAGAGGGAGAACGCGCAAAGATGCCGACAACGGCAGTAATTCTCGATCGTTTGCATATTATTGATCGGCTCCGATACCCAAACTATGAGCAGGAGAACATATTTCAACCATTACAGAAGGAGACGGCACACCAAGGGATATAGACACAAAAGCATAGGAGAAAACGAAGTAAAAGAAAAAGAAGAGAACAACTTTGTTTCTATACTGTTTCTTCACTCACTCACTCATTTTCTCTCATGTTGCTCTGTCAGGGATATTAGTAGTTAAGATTTTGAGCAAGCATCTTTCTCTTCATCTTTCTCTTCTTTTCCAATCTCTACTTATTGTTCCACGAATGCAATGTCAGCTTTTGGGTAAAGACATTTATTTGTTTGGTAGCAAGACCGGATGTCTATGAATTTGTCAAGCATAAACAAGCAAACTTTCTCATTTACGTCCAGTCTTTAACAGTAGCATAGGTTAAGTGTTCACAGGTAAAACAAGAAAAGGCAGAGAGGAATAGTAGAGAAAGAGAAAGAGAGAAAATAAGCGAGATGCAAAAATGATTGATCGATTCAAACAGATGAACAACAAGCAGACTTATAATAGCGATATCAAAAGAATTATGCTTTGGTTGTCATACGCACAAAAAGAAAACAGGAAAAGAATGCTAACTATAGTCATACATTGCAGCACTTGTCAGGGTTCCAGCAAAAAAATTATTTGCAAAGGACATCCCCCTTGGGATTTGCCAGGACACTACGTTGTATGTTATAGTGGAAAACATTATTATTACTAGCATGATTATTATTAAGAAAAAGATCACAGAAAATCTTTGAAATCTATTTTTGTATAAATATCGATATGCGTTACTTAACATATGCTAATTCTAATAAATAAGAAGAAGAAAAAACTATAAAGAAAGAAAAGAATCTTTTCTAGTTATTTCCAACCAAGTTCTTTTATAGTTTTCAGCATCCACAATAAAGATGGCATGTCTAATTATAGTCAAAAAAAAAGATCTTTCGCCCGTTATAGAGAAATAGCTAGTCAGTCAATTCTTTTTCAAAGAAACTGATGCTGTGGAAACAAATAATAAAGATACAACTTGTCTTCACCCATCGCAACAATTGTTTTGCATCTAAGTGCTTTTTCGTTGTGACTTTATTTCTCTCTTAATGTTCTTATGTGATCTTAGTTGCTTATTTATCGAATCTTTTCTATTTAACCACTTTAATATAAATCTATAGAATGAAAAGATATATAAGGAATGAAAGAGAGATATATTAAGAGCGAAAGAGACTAGCAGCGTCACTGATGTAATGTGACAGATCAAAGAAAAACTGAACTTAGTGAGACTCAAACCCACACCTTCCGCCACCGGGGAAGATGTCCTAACCAGTTAGACTAGAAGAACATCTTGACCTTCGTTTGGCGTTAGTAAGTTACATCACTAACGCTAACAATATATATATGTATACAGATACATACATATGTATATGTGTATATAGATACGTATATATTCATCGATATGTGTATATGATTAGTTCGATGAAGAAATTGTTGTCACACCAGAGCGTTTATTGAATACATGTTGACATCGCATGACGAATGCTGTCGAAACTAATCCATCTCACATTCGGAATGAAGTTGTATGTAAAAAAAGCATATGTAGTTATAATATTTAAT